TTATACATTTGCAAAAAAGTGAATAGAAACCTTTTGTGAAGCTTTTAAAATGTACGCCACAGACATCTTGTCAGTGTTAAAGAAAAGCCATTGATCCTCTGCAAATCGCTGAAATGACTTTTCTTCCTTGGGTGGTCCTCATACATCAGATGGCGAGATGGATGAGGAGGTTTGTCCTCTGGGCAGAGCTTGAAAAAAAATCTGATTGTTGTTTGGGCATCTGACCAGGTAACTATGTTCCTTTGGAGGTTTTCAAGGCATAATACAAAAAGCTGGAATTAGTTTCTCAGTATGTGATCGCCAGGGTCAGCCATGCAAATAGTATGAGGAGTAGAGCAGCTACTCCTCTGCATCGACAAGAGGGAAGCTATATTTTCCTTTTGACAAAGGCACGCCTTGGGATCACTGAAAATGAGCTGCAGAGTGTCGCTGGAAAGACGGACGGTTTTACTTCTTGACCTGTTGTCACTGATGCCTGATCTCACATAAAAGGCAGAAAAAGTTGAAGGGATGGTATACATTTTTACTTTACTTCCACTTTTCTTACATTATTTAAAAATTACCATCAGATTATTGAGTTTATAAATATCTAAGCCTGCTGTACACTGCATCATGCCAATTTCTCTTTTTTTCCTTAGTGAACTCCTTGTCTTGTTATAAGGGTCCAGACTCACAGAAGGTGGGCCGTTTAGTCATTTCAAAGTAGCTGTGACTGACGAACACACTCATTGCACTTAATTCTTCTCTTTTTCCAGCCTGTCTGCAGCTGAGCCCTCCGCTCCCTCTTACTCTGTGTCTTTCCTCTTTCCTGTTTCAAAACCAGAAAAAAAAAAAAAAACCTTGCGGTCTTGTGTCCAGAATCCGGAGGTAGATCATTTTAATTCTGCTTCACAGATCTTTTTCAAAAAAGAAAAAAAAACGACCTGGAGACCCCAAAACCGGTGACCGCTTGGTGAACCTGGGCCGACCAGCCAGGACCCAGGCACTTGTAAACACAGACATCGTCTAACATGCACCCTCCCACTTCCACCCCTGAATGCTTTTGTTCTCTTCCCACATTAGCACAAGCGCTTTATGTTTACCAGTTCATGTTCTCTGATTTTGTGATGCAATCAGTCACAGCATGTCCTAAGTCAGTGATCTGTCCATTCGGGTTCATTTTGTGTTTGTTTTTTATTATTATTGTTTACTTTGTATTGCTTAGTAGGTTCTGTGGTGGAGTGCATCCAAAATTTAGTGCTCCCACAAAGGCCCGACTGAAAACCTTTCTTCAGAGACAGGACTGTCCTAGATTAACAGGTCGGCTCTTGTGGGCAGGACCTGGATTCCACTGGTGGTTCGTAAGTTCATTTCATTGTTTGTAAAGACACTCAAAAATGTTGAAAAAATTCAGCTTGTAATTCAGTGCAGAAAAAGTTTAATGTAAACAACTTATTATTTGTGACAAAATCAACAGTTGGAAAATTATTAATACTCCAAATAATTCCTTTAAAATAATTTTAATAGAAGACCTTTTTGATTTTTTTATCGTTTTCTTTCGTAAGTGAATCAGAGGCTGTAGGCTCTTGCAATCCATGATGTTTTTTTTTTTGTTTGTTTTGTTTTCTGAGACATAAATATAAAGAGATACTGAGGCCCATATCTTTTGCCCACCCAATCCTATTGTACTTTATAGCAACTGAAAAACCAGCCCCTTATGATTCAAGATGAGGATTCTGTTGAACCTTTAAATTTTACCCAATCACTAAAGTTCCCCTGTGATGTTTGTGATGCGCCAGTTTGATGCTATGAAGCTTACCAGACACAGCCTGCCCGTCCTCCATTACGAAGAGAGATGTGTCAGCCTGAATGAGATACCTGTTACTGCTAATTCAATATTTAGAAGCATGGACAACACAGACTTCATTCACGTCCTCTGTTGGCAACAGGCTCCTTCTGTTTACTGATTGACTGAGTTGAAATTCCACCAAAGAAATCCAGCTCAATGGGAAAAATCCCAGATGGAACATGGAAGGGAGTTGAGAATCAAGCAGAATTGTTTAGCAAGGCAATGGCTTGGCTAAGCTGTCTTTGGTCATTCACAAATTAAGGCAATAAAGTCCCTCATTTCCAAAAGGATCAAGAAACCAATGTTGGCTGCTTGGCCAGGAACTTACCAAGTTTGATACGGGGCATTGCATTTAAAATAGGAAACCAAAAATTCCTAAAACCTAAAACAACAGGCTTAAGACAACCCAAAATATGCTTTTGTCTTCATTTCACAGAAAATAAACTACTGATATTGTTACTTTTCTGAATCTCACATAACTTTTTGCCTTTGCTCATAAATAATTAATGATAGTAATGAATGATAATAACAGAAATACTCCCTAAATTAAGACATTCAGGTGTGATTTTGTCGCCGGCAGTGGCAGCTTTTCAGACTGTTTCGCATTTTAATTTCACACCCCTATGAAGCCTCAGATTTTATTATTATTAATTCATTTATTAAATCATTAGGTTCAGAAGGGCCCCTGTTATGTCTTTCCTAAACTGTTTTATTGTCTTGGGCGATGACCTCATGGTGTATTCATGCACACCTTGTAAACTACATTATCCTGTTGATCCTCAGGAGGTCTATAAAATACCTTTTAAAATATTGGAAATGTAAACCAATATCTTATTTAACATTTCACAAAAAGTCGATTTGTTGTTGTTTATTTGTCTGTTCTGAAGTAATGGCTCTGTGTAAATGAGGTAATGGTTGAAATTTTCTCATTATAGAATTTTTTAATTTTGTAGCTAATTTTTAAATAATTTTCAGGGCAGACTTGACGTTTGGTCAGGTTTCATCTGTTAATACCGAGACAAAACAGTTAACCACCTGAAAATATTCCAATGTGTTATTTATGCAGTGATAAGATTTCACTGTGTAAGTAACTTTGACATTTTATCCAGTGAATGACTTCACTTGAATGCAACAGTTTGTGAAGAAACACAAAGGAAACAAACTCTTTTAGCTTCTGTCAGTAAAGTGAAAAAGGGTAATTTTTACATCTGTAGTAAGATGACAATGCTACAGTCTTATGAAATGTTTTGAAATCTGTTCTTTTGACAAATGGGTGCTGTACAAAGCATTCACAGCAGGAGTGCCAGTAATTGTGCTGCCAGTCAGATTGGTCTTTTCTGCAACAGTCACTCCAGGTATGTTTAGTTTAAGACAATGAATCTATGTGGAAAAGTACCTCATGTCCACTATTAAGTATCGTTTAGAATCTGTAATGCTTCTTCTTTGCCAAATATGAATCATCATTTGATTTTTCAACAGAATGACAATAGAGAGCAAGGTCGACCAAGAACTAAATACTCTAGAAAAAATTAGAGGAGTAAGGAGAAAAGATGAATGAACTGGACATACAACCCTGGACAATGTCAAAAAAATAAAAAACTGTAATGTGTTTGCTCTATCAATACAAGCTAAAGGTACTTTTCACTTTGACTGTATGATATAGTAACAAATATCATATTTTTGTGTGGCACTTTTTGTCACATCCTTGCAAGACCTGTAGGTAATTTCTTCTCCATGCCCATGCACATTTTAATTTGTCCTAAATAATGTAACCACTGCTGTTTGAGTTTGTTATAGTTATAAGTGCCATTCACTCAGCAAATCCACCTTGAAATTTTAAGAAACAATGTGTTGAAAACCATAAAAGATGTTCTTAAAACCAAAAGTAGGAAAGTGGGACTTCATATAATGGAAGATGGCTATTCCAGAGAAACATCAATCTTTTTAGGTCGAATGAGAACATTTCACAAGTGTATATTCTTTCTACTGGAAAAAAATGCACACCAACCCACACACTAAGACAACAATCTGTCAGATATGTCACAGACATTCAGTGACATTCTAGCAGAAAAGCTGTTTGGTTTACTTCAGAAAGCCACTGTACTGCAGGCAGGACTTTTCCCAGCTTTGCTACTTTGCGCATCACCTCCTTTAAAGGGCAGCCAGCTCATCTTTTTTGATGACTGACAGTGGGATTTGCAGCGATAATGTCTTCAGGTGCCAGAGGATTGGGATTAAACATACTTCAATTTTAAACACGGTAAAGTTGCCATGACAATGACCTTCAGTTTTTAGCTCAGATGGTGGACATGTGGCAAGCCGACCACTGGCTTGATATTGCCCAGAGACCGCTCCGATCTAGCGGGGGCTTTTGCCATGATTGCGCTTTCAAATCCTAAGTTGAATCTGAAACTCTGTCCTCACAAATGTGCGTGTGTGTGTGTGTTAGTGAGGAGAGAAGATGGTGTTTCTGCAATGGCCATGCAGTGTAGAAAAAGGACAGTCTCACTTCAAAGTGAGTCATGAGAAGAACTAAGGGAAATTTAAAGACACCTGCACATAATCTGTGACCCACTGACCTGCCGTCAGAACTTAAATGTAATAGCAACTGCATCTCTTTTCAAGTCTCTCCAAACGTCCACAAAAAAATTTGTGGACGTGAAGACCTGAAGCCTGGATCGAGCGGGCTTCATAAACTCACAGTTTGAGGTCAGTGTCTATCCCTCTGCAGGGCAATGCCTTCACACTCTCACACCTGCCTGTCAAAGGAGAGAGCAGCAGGACATCACGAGAGGAAGCACAGCAAAAGGAAAAGCAAAGAGTTGTGGCAATACAGAAGAAAGCAGTTGCAGTATTTTAAATAATGTCCAAAGCCCACCAGACAGCAATAAAACTCTACAATGATTATCACTATTGACTAAAGCTAATCTCTGCTGAGCCCACGAGGCGTGGTCGGTCGATATGAATTGCAAGAGTTTTGTAAATTTGATGGCGTGTGGTGGCTGGATGTTCAAGTGTGACTAGACTGCCCCACAGTGGAGGCTGGGAGAATTACAAAAGCAGACATGCAGGAAGTGATATGGCATAAATAATTCCAACACAGTCTGGAAAAGTGCTAAATTTAACTAAAGTATTTCACAGATTTTAATAGATATCGCACAAGTAATTCCTCTATGGGAAAATATTTTTATTGTCAGACTTAATTATCTGTCCCATTCCATAAAGATGATGTGTGTGTCCGTCCGTCCATCCGTCCGTCCATCCATCCATCCATCCAAACCTAAGAACAGTGCACCAAAAGTGTCAAGATGTTGTTGGCTCCCGGATAATAATGCAACTTTGTGTTACATAATTTGTTGTGCAAGTTGTGTTGTGCAATGGCACAAAGTTATTGGATTAATGAAGATGGAAGATTGCTTCCAGATTGTTCTACCCAAAATCAACAATTAAACAGAAAGGGTAGTTATTTGTTGTAGTGTTATTGTGAAAACTGTTGAATGTAGTAATTTCACTTCGGTTTTATTGTTATCACAGGAAATACCACAAGTTATTGTGATAAATTTTTTTAATCCATATCACCTCTCAGTTCTATGCAGTTGAAATTCAAACTTGCATCAAAACTGGTATTGGGGCAAACTCAGCTGGTTTTGCAATAGGATCCTGGAAGAAAGCTGACTTAATACCTTTCTTAAAGTTTCAAAAAAGCACCCAGACCACAAAAACAAAGACTAAACAAGCTCTAAAATAAACTTGAGTCCTCAAATATTCAACCAAAATGTTGTCAGAATCTTGTTCATGGCTACAAATCTTGTTTTTGTTTTTGTTTCTCCAATTTTCTCAGGGACTTTCAACCAAATATTAAGTGTAGTGTATTTGTATTGAAGCCTGTTTCTGGTATAAAACAAATCCACAATAGGTTTAAAATTCACATTCTAAATTTATGTTTTAAAAAAAACCATTGAAATTGTTTGTTGTGTTATGACCACTATGAAAAATGAATAAACTTAATCATTAAATGTCTAAAGTTAAATAGACATAAGGATCTGACGAGTAAACCTTCAATACTGACCTGAGGACATGGGGGTCTTTATATCTTCACACAATAACTCACTAGTGTATTTAAAAAATCCACAGCAATAAATGCACATATTGACAAGAATGAACACTATTCATATTACATTCACGTTTTCATTATTTCAGATTAACAGCTCTAAATATACATGAAGACACACAAAAAGTGACATACTTTAATGCACATCAAAGCATGAATTCCTTCAGTCAGAAATGCTGCCACCTCTTTGTCTGTGAGGTGTGTCCAGATTCTGTTCATAATATCAGTCAATCCCCAAGTAACTTCAAAATACAGCAAATTTATCTCAGAGTGACACATCTGGCCACAGGCGCGTAAAAGGATTATGCTAGTGAACAGTCTGTGAGGGGCTTTTTCTCACTTCAAGCAAGCATGGATGTGAGCTTTGTTATTTTGCTTATTTGATTGGACTATGTAAAAAGCTTAAAACAGGGTCCTTTCTGAGTTGGATGCAGACATCTCTGGAATGTGTCCCTTGTGTATGAAGGACATTTTAGAGTAATAAAAATATAGCTTTGTACCAACTGATGTTGACAGGAGCTAAAATTTGAAGCTGATATATTGTATTTTTCCTGGGAAATTTGTGAAGTTGTGTTGGGTCCAACCCTGAACTATATAGTCAATGCTTTGAAATCATAAAAAAACAGTAAATAGATTTTTTTTATGTACATTAATATAACTAAAATCAATATAGTTGTTGCTTTTCACTTTAACTAAAAACAATTTGATCCATTTTCTTACAAGTTTTGAAAGAAAATGTGCAAATACCATGATAAGTGATTAGCAAACTGGTCCAAGCTAATCTGCCATCAAAGATGCAGCTAGTTGACTGACTTATTTATATGGTTCATAAGCATTACTTCACTGGTCAGAATGCAGCATTTTCTTAATGCCTTGCATTCCAATAAGAACATTAACAAAAGTTAAGTGGAGTAGTGGTCAGTAGGATGACAGCAAGTGTGAAAACCAGCAGTCTTTTTGGCATTTTGTTGGCATGTGAATGCTGAATGGATTCTAGTTGGCATGATCAGGTTGTCTGTGTGTCCTGTGAAAAAAAGTCAGTGCAAAAGTAGCAGAAGAGATAGTAGCCAAAAGTTGAATCCTGGCAGCGGAGAGGCGAAGCTTTTAATGTTGCAGTCGTCACTGTAGCAGCAGTGAACTCTGACCCCTGGCACTCTGTATCCCTGGCTGCTGGCCTGACTGCAGAAAGACTTGTAGGAACACGACTTCATCACGCCGCCTTATGAGATAGAAATATATGTGAGAGATTCATCCATTTAACAGCTGTCTCACAGAAACCAATAAGTACACCAGAAGTGAAAATAGCTGTTGCAAAAAAGTAATGCGTTGCTACTGACAACAAAATCAAAACAAAATTCTGCAGGCATCTGGATATTTTAAAATCACTGCAGGTTTGATAAGAAACTGTTGCGAGCACAGGCAACAGGATTTGACATTTCACACACATTTAATTGTCCCCCTTAAATATCTTGAGCTTGGACTCTTACAGATAACTAAAACAACTGTATTGACCCAAACTATTGGAGTAACCTACAATTAATTTATGATTAGTTTTAACTTTAAATAGAATTCATCTATTACTTCAAAGTCTTTTTTCTAAATAAAAAAAATTATAAACTAAAATGTTTATGCTGAAGCACCACATGGTATCCTGATTAAGGGTATTTGTCAAGCAGAGGCAAAAAGCTTCATTCTCTGCAAAACCTCAGACCCCCTGCAGGTTGGGACGTTTCTTCAGACAACAGCCGGTTGGATTTCAGCAAACACTGTCACACACAGTCTTGTGCACGCAGGCAGAACAAACACCAAAATGTAGTGAAGATGCTGTCTGAATAACAGGAGGTAGAAACTAAATGAGCAAAAGGAGATGTGGCCACCTTCGAGAAACAGCAGACTTACTGTCATGGCCCACCACCACCGCACAGGCGTCAGAGTAGCTGGGACAGGATTTGGAGCCTTGTCGGTTGCAGTCATCATTATCAGAGCCCATGCAGGTGTAGCACTTCAAAGCCTCACCTCGATGAGACAGAGACAAGGTCAAAACAAGATGCTCTGCATGTCTGAAGGTTCTGTTTAAAAGGTTATTGGCCACTAATACTTTACTTGAAGTAGGAAGCGCTCTTGGTGTCAGCAAAATCAAAATGGTACCTAAACCAAATAATTTTAAAATATTTTCAATCCATTTATGTGAAGGCTACTCGTTGGAAAGGTTTTGTATTGGATGGTTTCATACACCGAACCCAATGTTTGTTTTCACAGGAAATGGAAGTAGGAGTAAATGTAACATGTTCCAGTCTAAAAAACGTCTGGAGAAGAGAGAGATGTGAAGTATATTGTGTCGTAGTAATTGATATAAAAGTAAAATAGCTTAAAAGTTGAAATATTTTAACAGTATTTTATTGATTTTATGTTATTTTTTTTATATTGCCTTAATTTCTATCAGACCAAAAGCAGTACTACTGCTGCTGCAAGTATGAGATACATTTATTAATATTTAATTTGCCTTGCAAAAGTGGATTTGGGATTATCTGACGATGCTTCTAGGGTTTATAAAAACTGTCGGCAAAACTGCTACAATAATTTTGAGACTGGAATTGTTTCAAGAAGAGAGAGAGATATTTACTATGAGTAAAATACTAACTGCTAATTGCCTTTAAACAGAACTACACTTCAAAACCCTGCTTATCCTTTAAATTAGGACAACATGCAAAATTCACATTTTGCATGTTTTTGTATTTTCACTTGGATCTCAGCTGCTTCTAACAACGGACCAAGTGTTTAAGAAAGACCTCCCAGCTGGAGTTTGGCAGTAAGTTTATATTTGTTTGATGTCTGGAAATGGATCCATTTCAAAAACTTCTAACTTATGGAATGTAAAGTCAAATTAGCAGCCACTACCAATCACGTGACCCCAACAAAGCCCAGTTTATTACATAGCAAGTTGCTATGTAAAGGGCACATGCAACACATACAGCTGGTTTGTGCTGTTTTTACCGCTGTATGTGCTGTGCAGTGGCTGCTGGAAAAGACAAATGATTTATTGTTGACTTACTGTTTAGTAAGTCAACAACATCCTTGTTGCCGCATCCTTATTGGTTGTGTCAGAAGCTCTACTGATGCTTTTCAAATATTTTTTGTCATGAAATTGCACATCTGTTTGTTTCAGTAAATGTGGAACTGGGTGGGTGTGGCCAGAAGCAGCTTATTTGGATTTAAAGTGACAACAGACCTTAAAGTAGCTCATTACAAAGGAGCTCAAAATTGGCCGAACTGAGCAGACTAAAATCTCATTATCTAAGAATGATTTTGTGCAAAAAATTAAATGAACATCTTTTGTCCTAACCCATTCAAGGAAACATATTAGGTCACTTTCAAACTACTGTTGCTATTTTATTAAACAGCTGAGCAGATGTAATTTTTGTCCTCAACAATCTACCAAGATGAAATTGGTACTGATGATTTTAAAGAGAACATTTGCAGGTACCCAACCCATTGCTCTTTTTCCAACAGTTAATGCAGTATCGAGGGCATGGCCTAGAAACCTTAAAGCTGCAGAAGAGAGTTAGCTCCAGTACTGCAGGTGTAAAGCATGACCAAATCAGGTTCCCAGACAGACCCCAACTCTTGATATCTCTATTCACACAGGATGTACTTGATGAGCGTGCACATGCAAGCTGTGTAAATTTCCAATATGTGATAGTCTTCCGCTGATGCAGTGAGACTAAAGTGAGGAGACAGCGTTAATTAATCCCTTTCCTCGTCTCGCACAAATCTTCCCAAATCTACCGGAAAGTTACAGCAGTTCTGTCCACATGTTTAAAAATACTTGTTTTTCTAAACTTCTAATGCCTAGGGAACCAGTTTCGGTACATAAAGCACTTAAATGCCTTTCTGTGCCCTGATTTCTTGTCCAAAGGAAGGAGTGGCTATTTGAAAATAAATTGACCTATGAAATGCTATAGATTTAAACGGTTCCTTTTAAAACCCCCCATCCCCATCTCCTTTATTCCAGACATGCAGTCTCAAATGCGGCTTCCTAAGAGGATCAGAGCCGAAAGGCACTAAAAGCTTCAAACATTCTTCACAGCAGCACATCTCTTGTATTTCGCCATCAAAGTTGCTTCCTTTCCCCTCAGATGTGTCTCTCTGACACAGACGCAGGTTTGTCCCTGTACAGATATAGTTCAGAGACAGTAGACGTGCAAATCAAACCAGAAGGTTGACTCTGTCACTATAAAGGTAGGCTCTGTTAAAGAAGAAAATCACAACTGGAAAAGTATTACTAAAACACTGACAGGAAACAAAGATTTCATCATTAAAATTGTCCTTGTCCATTAAAATTGTTGCTGGTTTTCTTTGCTGCTTATCGGTGATCATCTGTGTTTTGGGTTGGCATTAAATATCCCCCACTGAGTGTTGCTGACCCCAATCTATCCCCACTGCACAGCCGCTTTCCACACATGCTAAACGTATTAGTCTTCAGGCCTGTTAAGAGATTAGCTGCTTTTGACTGCATGTTGGTTACAGGAGATGAGGATGAAATGCGGCGAAGCAAACAATTATTAGAATCCCAATAGAAATCAACTTCCAATAACAGTAATGACAGGAAATACCATTTTATGGTTTAATGTTGAATATATTTGTTAAGCAGTTGAAAGATACCTTTTTCTTGAAAATATATGTATATATTTTTGCATTGTCTGGTCCACCCTTTACTTTTTAAATGTCAGAATGTAAAGGAAGTCGTCTACCTAACAGCAAAGACTAACGTACAGAGAAACAGGTAGCTAAAGAAGTACCTGAATGGAAAAAGTCAAATAACAGGTGGAGAAATGTTCTTAAGTTCCTTTTTAAGACAAATACAAAAACAATTTGTAAAAAATAAAAAAATGAGTGAAATATTAAGAATAAAATAGTTCTTACTGTAAGTTGGTAGCAGGAACATAGAAAGCAGCAATAATAGACAGTAGTGGACGATCGTCATGGTGCTGCCGCTTGTCGCTCCTCCTGATACCACAATAAAAAGCAGGTTGTTTGCTCTCTAAGCCCTCTGAGCTTTATCTTGGTATTTAAACGAGCTAATAGCTGCTCCTGCCTCAGCAGCAGATGAGCAGCTCGCATTGAGCGGTGCTAAATTTTGTTTAGAACCAAAATGATACCAACAATGCATGCATAGTTTGGAAATCATTATTTACACTTCTATTACATAGTAGTAATAATGTCATACAATTATTCCTTATATAATCCTTTAAAAACAAGGTTGTGCTGCACAAGCAAAAGGACAAGGCAGTCCACACAGATTCATTCTGAATGTTTTTTCTGCTAAACTATCACAGGTCAAAATTCTCACTATTGGTACAATTTGTAGTTCACACTTAACCCTGTAAGTCCCAGTGCTGTCATCTCCAGTGGCGATTCTAGAACAAATTTACCAATGTGTGCTTTTTTATATGCATTTTTATGGAACTTAAAGAAGAATGAAGCAAAAACTAAGAAAACAGAGCGATATTTAATTGGTTAATTTATCAAGATTCTGCAAGTTGCAGACTGATCAAGCAGATCAGCTGAATATGTAACATCTTAATCAAGCAAAACTATGAAGATAAAAATAAAATTTAAACTTGAGCAAAGCAGAAAGTCACAAAATACTATTTAAAAATACCTAGATATTCTGATCTATTTGTTATGGGAACCAACAGAATACATGTCTTCAAATTAAAGGATGGAGTTTTGTTACATTTTTAATGTATGCTGCTCAAAAAAGATGATTATTTTTATTTAGTTATTTTATACATCTTATTCAGAGGCCCAAACAGTAGTCCATTGATGCATCAATGTGTGTTTGTCTTCCACAACAACACATAAGGTGAAATCAAATAAAATTTTATACGTTTTTGTAAAAGCCCAGCATAACATAGAGCAACAGGTGAGCAATTAAGTGATGAGCTAAAGATGAAGACCAGAGTGAACCTTCAGCTGTATTGCCATCTTTTATTGCACTTTTTAAGCTGATGCTGTATAATATCTGTGAAGAGAAATTGTTCCTCAGTGAAAAATGATGGATGTCGTCCTCCAAAAATTCAATCACTCCTGCTCACAACTGAATACAGTGATGATTAGTTTGCTTTATATCAAAATAAATTCCCAAATAAAATAATAGTCCCACAATTTCATCAAAAAACAAGCTATGACAAGTATATCAAATATTGAAATGTTTACATGAGGGATCCAGGTTGTGGATGGTATAGTAACTACATTAAAATGCAGAGAACTCTTGTTTTATACTTGGATTTTCCACAATACAATTTGTACAAACAATAACATTACAAGGTTTTCTTTCTGTTTTACATGCAACACTATCTCGACGGTTGGTGTCTAAGGGTTTCAAGACTGTACAAATAAATCTAAACATTTCGCGGCTAAATTTTTTCAAAATCTACCTTAACCTTGCATCAAGAGGAGAAACTAACAGGAGCGGGTAAACAGTCTTCTCCCTCAGTGGCTGTCATGGCAACATCATAAACACATAACTCAACCCACAAGTAATCCTTGGACTTTTTCATCACCGTACACACAGTCACACACGCAACACTCATCACTGATATGATAGATCTTCTAAAACTTTAAACCAGACCCCTGATACAGTACGGTACACTGACACATCAAAAAATGTACAGAGTAATAAGAGGAGGTCATTTTGGTGGAGACTCAGTAGGAAGCAAAACCCCAAGACCTCTTTGGCCTTAAAACGTCCATCGTTTCTTGCAACAGTGATCCACTTTGTGTTCATAAAGTATTAGCTTGTGGCATGGCTGCTAACTCTTCCCCATTTTGGCGATCAGCTCGTCACAGATCTTTGTCAGCTCCTCAATCTCCTTGTTCTGTAAAAAATTGTAAAAGCATTAAGTTACCTGAACTGTGTATACACAGAGTCTTTCTCTTCATATTGGTTGAACTTTTCTGAGACATTGGAAGGAGTACGGCACAAATGTAGACATATTATGGTACGGCTGTTAACCTAAACTGCTTAGAGGTTGATTATCTGACAAGCAGCAGAGGTAAAATGTTAAATCTGGGTAGGTGCAGGGAGAGGAGAAATACCAAACGTGGAAGAAGACGTCATTAAAAATGCCAACGAATGGCGCAAAATCATCGAAACATTTCACCCTGAACACAACATCCTCACTATCAAACTATTTTTTCAGCAGGAACGGGAAAGCATTTGAGAGTAAAACTGCTAACAATCTATGAAAGACATGAGATAGAGGTAGACATGAGGACTGAGGTAGAGATTCACCTTTCAACAGGAAAATTACCCAAACCAGGGAGCCATAATGTAATGATTTGGATACATTGATGTGCTATAACGTCCTAGTTAAAGTTTAAACCAAAATCCAATTGTGAAAATAATATCCAAAGATGTGCTCCACTATTGTGATTGAGTTTGAGAATGGCCAAAAGTTTCTGTAATCTGTAAATGCAGCAAAAGATGTTCCTGAAAGTACTGAGCAGCGACTGTGCATCACACATTTCAGATGGTATTATTATGCAAAATGCTCAAATCATGTCTTTATTTAATCCTCAATATAAACATAAACCCCTAATAAAGTACATTGAGGAGGCTGTAAAAGGTTCAGGTGATATGAATACTCTTTTACAAGGTACTGTATCTTTTTAAGGTTATTGTGTTTCTCATCGCTGACCTTTTGCTCCAAAGTGCGCTCCAGAGAGTCCACCTTCATCTGCTCTTTCCTCAGGCTGGCTTGGTGGGCAGCCTGCTCTTGCTTGGCTTTGGATCGAACCTGTGCGATCTCTGCATTGGCTCTGGAGATGAACGGTGAAAAGAAAACAATACAGTTACCCTGCAGTACTTGTACAGGGATAAATACCATTCCGAAGAAGTCAGGAAAGATTGTAATGCATTTCAAAAGCAGAAGAAATGTAACGAACCTATTATAAAAAGTGAATTTGGGAACTTGTATTGGTTGGATGTTTAGAGCTTTTTGTGTATTTTTTTTCTCATTATGATTTGCATTTGTTTAAACTCACTTGTCTAGTTTCTCCTCAGCGTGGATCTTCAGAGCTTGATACCGCTGCTCCTCCTTGCGGACTCTGGACAGATACTCCTGGGCGCATTTTTTCAGTACTTCTTCATTCTAAAGTAAGAGAGATTTATTAAATGTCTTGCCCTTAAACTACAGCATCCTTCACACTTACCACTCCATATCTAAAAAGCCTTAAAATGAAACAATCTTTTATTGTAGCGGGGTAACTTTACCCTGAAATTCAATATTTAATTTAGGTACATTAAAAAGTGGAGGAAGAATTTTTTTCACATCATCACTCATACAAATCTATTAAAATAAATGCAACTGAGGCATACTTTCTGTGTCTAGTAATGGAAGAAAAATCTCACCGTGACATCTTGGGGTCAGCAAGTCTCTATAACAAACATGGCGTTTGCCAAAACACTACTCAGAATTTGATTAAAACCGCCTGCTTTGGTCAGATCAGCCGTCTTAAATGCGTGTCATAAAATACTCCCCAATTATTATCTATCAAACAGCCAACAAAGGCTGTCGTCCTCTAGGCACGGTGATCCTTTTTAAATGCGTTTTGTTCAGAGGTGCTGATGCTTCTAATAAAACTGTCCACAGATGGAGTCCAATAATCTGTTCTGTCTCAGTGCACCTGAGCGTCGCATGGATGATTTGACCAGACGACCCGAGGTGCTGCTGATGTATGTCCCCTTTTCCTGCACCACTCAGCCCAGGTGGGTTTTGTGTAAAAACACTGTTTGGATGTGCACAAAGTGAACTTGTGCCTCCTCTTAAGTAAAGGTGGAGGATTTGTGAAGCTACAGGTCTGCTTCTCTTTGGAAGTTCAGGGAAACCTTTTAGTGTACGGTCAAATGAACACATTTTCAATTTATTTCAGGACATTTTCAATAAAAGTCTGGTGACCTCCAACAGGAAATGGGTCATCACTGTGTCTTTCAGTCAGATATTGTTCCAAAACAGGTGACTGAAACATCACAGAAGTGGTTCACTCGAGAGAAAAATCATCCTTTTTCATCCTTATACCTAAATCTTACAGAAAACCTCTGAATGGAGCAGAACAGAAGATAGGAAACCTCACACTATGTGTGCTACAACTATGGGACATATTTTAGGAGACTCATTTTGACTTAGAAGTTTTGAGTAACCTTGCGGAAGCCCTCCAATACATCTTTCATCTTCTCATAACGACGGAAGAGGTCAGCCAGGGACTTCTCCACAGAGTTGAGGTCAGCCAAGGCCTGGTCCTTCTCTATGATTAGCTGCTGGATGGTGTGGTGGGACAGAGACTTCTCCTTTTGATCATCCTCTAATGAACACACACAGATTTCCTAAATCATTAGTCTATCCTCTAGAGATCTTAGAGACGTGGAAGGTACAAACATCTTCCTTCAGCATACATACACCATTTTTACAATGGAACAAAGTGGAATCGTGGGTCAGAGTGATTTTTCTGCTTCAGAAAATCATTATTTTTTATTGCATGCAAACAAAATGTCACAATGAGGAAAACCATAAAGGAGAGCTATGTTTTATAAAGCTTGGTAGCTTGGTTTGTTTAGAGCGACACTTGCTTGTCTTTTAAGTAACTTACACTAGATGATCTACTTGTGTAAGTAGGTAAAGCTGCTTGAGTGGCTTTAACACACCTTTAGTCAAGTGGCGAGGCATCTTTAAGATCTTTTCATTGTTTTATGTAGCTCAGATTGATATAGTAGTATTTTTAAAACAAACTTTTTTAAAGTTTTGACAGATTCTTTCCTTTATATCTATAAAAAAAAGTCTTAGCCTTTATGTGAAATGCAACAGAATGGACAAACAAAAGCCACTAGATGAGATGAAGAAAAGGAGCACACCTGCTCCCCCCCGTGACGGACGGATGAAGAGACGCGAGCTGACACAAACAAGCAAAGTACGGCTCCATGTTACTCACCTGGCATGCCTGTCAGGGTTATCAAATAGTAAGGGGCAATGATGGGAGCAGAACAGAAAAGAAGGGAGTGTGTTAAGTCAAACCAGGAGGGTAAAGAGGTGTGAGAGAGCCGAGCGATAGACATGAACAGAAACAGATTCTGGCCTTTTAGTGGACGTGATCTGGGAAGAGCAAGACATTAACTTAAGACTGCAGCACAAGCCAAATATTCAAGAACATCTGAGGGTGGCAAAAAAGGATGTAGGTGAGGGCAGGGAAAATGTAAAGTGAGCAAAGTAGTGACAAGGTGCCATCAATGGACTCTTGTGATGGTTTCCACCACCACCAGTGTCAGAATCTCTGCCGCAGCACAAAATTAACAAAGCTAAACTAGAGATGAACCAATAAGTCAGATTATGACTGGTTGATAGGAAGTTAAATAAATCAAGCAGCAACACCTGGATGTGGAAGTTGCTGCTAAGGAAAGAAGGCTGAAACTATGAATAAATTATGGCCTTCTACGGCATATTTTGAATGTTTTATATGTTTATTAAATAGTTCTCAAAGAGAGATTGCAAATTATTAAAACTGGTATTAGCAGGTGAACTTTTTCTAAAAACTGGAAAACTCTGATACATTTCTGATTTGAAATCAGAGGTGGTGGGGTAAAAAAAAAAAAACTTCAGTAAGATACCAAAGAGCAAATTAAAGTGTCAGAATTTGATGAAAAACATTTTATGATGCATCTTAAATTGTGCACTTACAGTCAGTCAATGATTACATAAAGTGAGGAAGTGAAAAACTCACCTATCATCTGCGCAATAGTCTTCTCATACTCTGCAACAATCCTCCTACAGATACAAAAAATGATTGCAAATTTATTGTCAGCACAATATCAGAAATATGAAAATAATTATGTAAATGCCATTTCACTCACTTTCTAGGTCTGTGAGTGGCGTTGCACACTTAATGTTGGTCATAACGTCTTTTTAACTTCGTGTTTATTGAATTAAAAGTAAATAATAATAATTTGAGTTGATTTATTTATTTCAAACAGGTTTTTAAAAAACAAAACAAAAAGATACAAGCAATCAGCAGGACAGAGAAAGCATGTGCATACATAACCAAGAACAAAAAAAATTTCTTTGCCACAACTTTTCTGTTTGAAAGAGTAGGAAGAAATTAACACTTATCTAATCCCATCCCTTATCTCAATTTAATGTAGTACATTACTTACTCAGTAATTATCAAAACATTAAAATCATGTAATAAAGCAAAATATAACACAGCAATCTGTAGAAACTTCAGACATGTTCAAATGTCCAAAATGACATCAACATGAAGCTTGAGGATCCCGAATCAAACAAATTGGATATTAGAAAGCCTTCTTCTAGTCCAATCAATGCATTTTAAAATGATCATCACTGCAGTCCTAATAAAACTAATTTCTGACTGTCACTCAAAGCTATCCAGCAAGCCATGCATGCAGCCACATTTTAAGTTGTCAATTTAAAAGGACAAAACAGCCAATTTTCATATGTACAAATGTATAGTAGCCCAAAAAATCTGAAAATAACCTCTAAGAAAATAAAAATCCACCCAATGTATCCATTCTAATGTGTTTGTTTTTCTTTCACATTCGTTTGCTTATTCTTGTTCTCTTTCTTGTTGTTGTCATTTATTTTTGCTTATCTAATTGCTTATTTTGTAGATCAATAACTCCGTTTGCTAGTCTGTAATGTTTGTTTTGTATGAACTAATTTGTGAACAAAACAGAAAAAAAACTTTATAGTAGGCCATGAACTTCTCTATCTGTTGTAGATCTGTGCCTATTCATATACTTTTCACTAAAAAAGTATCTAAATTCTTATTAAAAGTAACATAAGTAGGTTAACCTGTGATGTGTAATAAATTTCTTCACGTTTCCATTGTTTCTTTAGAAATAACTGGACCATTTTTGACTGTTCCAGTAAAACAGGTTGTACGGGGTAAGAGGATTGATTAGCCTTGCCTCCCTCTTAGTCTCTTAGCTCCTCCTTATCCAGAGCACAATCAGTTAAAGGAGGTAAGCTCTGTCTTATCCTTGCTAAATGACCCAGCTGAACTCACACTCACCACCTGCTAACTGACAAGAAGCTTCAATGCTGCTTATATCCAGTTTCCTGTCTGAACTTAAAGCTATTTGCTGACTATTGATTATGGGTGAGTATAGAGCTGCAGATAGCAGGTTTGGTGTAATAATATATATAGTAATTAATTATTTAGTCATCTTTTCTATCTAAAACATCTTAAAGCACATCAGTCTGATGTGTGCTCAGTGCAGACTGGCATAGTCTTTAACTGGTTTTCCATTCTGGACCCAAAGGTGTCTTTGTTTCAGATAAACCAAGAATGAAGTACAAAAGAAGACAATGCCATACAAAGACATTTGCTAGACATCTAAAAGTGAAAGACTTGACAACAACTCAATGTTTCTTTTTACCTCATCTCCACCACTTCCTGTCGACTGTCCTCATACTTCCTCTGCCACTCCAGAACTTCTTTCTCCTTTGACACAATCTATTAAAATAGGGGCAAACACTTTTAAGTAAAGTTCTAGATGTTGAAATGAAATGACTTTTACCACTCAAAGAATAAGAAGAAATAGAAGGGAACCTCCTCTCGTGCGATGTCCAACGACTGGTCAAGATCTCTTGGCAGATGTGGACTCTCGCCTTCGATGTAGCTGCTGCTGGTGGTCTTAGCGTAGAGCGAGCTCTTGGGTATGGAGCTCTCCACAGAAGACAACATGTCCCGGTGCTGCTTCCATGAAGCAAAAGAGAGCAGGGAAAAGAACGGAAACATGGCAAGTTACAAACTGGAAACCAGGTCTCACACGAGCCCAACAAGTTTTCTGAACAATGAACTCAAGGCGGCATGGAACCACAGAAATCTGTTCCACGCAACAAAACTCTGCTGGCGAATGCTGCAAAGCTGGTGATGTTTCTCAGGACTCTGTCGGCCACTACATGATTGGATGAAACAGCCTTCATCGCTACAGTAATTACTGCGTAATTGGCTGATGCTGGCCCCGGCTGAGTGATCGTGAGCGCCTGCTGCTTGCAGAAGCTTGAATGTGAGTTGGTCTGAGCAAGATAAGAAGGAAGGAGCACAGCAGCAGATAGTAAAATAGGGATGGACGATAAGGGAGCTGGACTGGGCAGCAGGGGCATTCCTGTTAGTGTTTGATTGCAAAGATTAACTGTTCTGACTCCACAGTTTTTATTAAAACCTTGAAAAGTTTCCAAGATATGCATGTGTCCATAAAACTAAGGCAACATTTATATCTCGACTTCTTGAATACAAGACTTTTTCTGGTTTCACTATTTCACCTCTAAAATTTGGCCTGGAATAAAAGGATTTAGTCATCATTGTAAGAGCTGGATTAAAGGAGGATTTAATGAAATGGTTGTGTCTGGCTCACAAACTAATCAGATTACTCTCGTATAAAACAAATGCTTAAATTAAGGTAAACAGTAGAAACGTGAGGACATGTAAAGCCATGGCTTCTAGGTATTTTGATTCAAAGCTCTATTTTGGTTACTAAATTTTAATCTCATCATATTAACTGAAAATATTGTATTCACAAACAAACTTTACTAGAGGCAAGTGATTCATTTTAATGTGGTCTTAAAAATGGGCTCAAAGCTGAGAGTGCAGGTTATAACGTTTCTGAACGGAGCATAAACATGGAAATAACCCAAACATACATGAGAAACCGGCGAGACTATAGATATAAAAGTAAGCAAAATATGTTCTTAGCACATTGGATCAGATCTTTTCCTTTCAGATTTAGTACTGATAGTCCAATGTTGGCATATCTCTAACTAACAACAACTCTCTTTGGTGCTGAAATTACTACTGAGGGAGAACCACAAAATTGAACACTTTGCACTAGAGAGTAGAAAAAATGATCAATTGCTGATCTTTTAGAAATCTGGAGTTAATTCGGCAACAGTAGCTGGTCTGAAAATCTCTGATCAGTGCATCTCCACATAAAATGCTGTCTTGATGTAGCACATCTATGATCTACTGAGGCTCAAGTCTGTAGTGCAGTCTGGATGTATTTGGACTAGATTTTAATTACAGCTCTTTAGTTCAGAACCAAGAGGGCAAAGTCCTAATTTTGAACTTTAGAGGAAGCCAAACAGCTTAAATTTGCTGTGCTAATTTATTTTCTAAATATTCAAATCAAGGGAAATATGTCTTAAGAAGATAATTTAACTAAAAATTATCTAGTATACAATGGTCATATCATTGAATCCAGTGTGTTGTTGTATAACTGGGCCAGTGAAACAGAGAAAAATATTTTCTTGCCCAAATACTTGGACTGCACTCTAGCTGGGTAAGAACAGATCACAGGGTGTCTTGTTAGTCTTACTTTAAGTAAAGGTGAACCGTTGATATTCCACCGCCGTGTGCTGGGTTTCTTGAGTCGAGACTGAAACGTGTCAAGCAACAACATGAGACTTGGAGGGACAAGATTGGGGACCAGAAGTCCTACTCTGACTCTTTCAAGGATTTTATTCCCCTTACCGATTTCCTAACTCAACTGCATCTTTAGTTCCAACTAAATATATTCCTAGCACATGTTTTTATGTTGAGAATAGCTTCAATAAGATACATTTGTCACTTTACAACTGCAAACGTCAATGTATTTCATTAGGATTTTATGTGATGAGTCCATCATTGTAAACTGGTAGGAAAAATTACACATGGCTTTCAAAGTTTTTGAAATGTGTATCCAGAGAAATACCTTTTATTTACAGCTCCACTGAAGGGAATAACTATCAGATGGCTGAAAAAAGATTATGAAACATACAAGATATTGAACCAAAAGGTGTAGGACATTGAAGCAAATTAGACTCTGAGGATACTAGATCCCTTTGCTTCATTATTGATGCTGAGGCTTAAGCAGCTGTTAACAAATCTGCAGAATGTGCCAATTTCTTTTATCCGATTAACCGATTAACAAAATAATCAACACAATAATTGATTACTGACATAATTGTTGCTTACAGCTTTAATTTCAATAAGCAAAAACTTTGAAAATCATAAAGAATTTTTCAATTCACTTGTTAGTTATGCTCTTGTGTGGGTCACATAAAATCCCAATAGAATAAATTAAACTTTGCAGTTGTAAAACAACAACATGTAATAAACTTCTAAGGATTTGAAGAGTTTTGCACTGTGCTGTAATATTCTGTGTTGCGTTTGTGTTGTTAATATGGGGGAAAATTAAAAAAAACCTCAAATGTGACTGGAGATTTGAAACAAAGGATGATCAAATAAGGCAGGGAGTGTTGCAGCCGTGTCACTGTGCAGCTGCAGTTTTTAGGAGATCGTATTACATCCCCAGTCACATTCATGCTGATGTAAGCCTCTCATGAACAGGCAACAGGCAGAAAACAACGCAGGGGGCTAGGAAGGCACTGGACTGTGCATTAACCTGAAGGAGCTTGTTGCCAGTCTGAATGGGAGCCGGACGCGTTAGCGGTATCGTGTGGAGAGGGGGCACCAGGATTGTGGATACTGCAGCACAGCCGCCATGCCGAAGGGGCCGATTGGCAAGCCGAGACACACCCATGCAAACACCACAGTCTACAATGACCCACTTCAGCTACACCTGCTTTTCCCTAATCAGTCATTCAAGATTCCTATTTTCTGCAGCAAACACGCTCACCCACACACACTGAATACAGCAGGTGCAGGCTGACTCAGCGCAGTACCTGGGGGGTTACAGTGGAGAGGGAGGGGCACTGAGAGATGCTTTGAGCTACTTGCAGAGCCTCTAGCCTCAGGGCTGCAAGCACCAGCTCCTCCTTGGCCGCACACAGGGGAGGGCCAAATATCAGAGGGGGAGGGATTGGCGGGGTAAGGGAGGAGGGTTGAAGAGAGCAAAGGGAAACATACAAAGACTTGAATTGAGAGCACACATTTGCTGCCGTCTGCATTTTACCAATCATTAATCTACTTCACCCAGCAAGCCAAAAACTGCAAGTACAGGGAGGAGGAAACATAAAAAGATGAAAGGGATGAAGTACGTTGACACAATGGGAACGATGTGGAAACAAAAACACACACAGTCACATTTCCTCTCAAGAGCCAGGACCTTCGAGGTTCGTCGAGGTGGGGCAACACACCTGTAGTTTTTGGGCGAATGCGGTTGGGTTGGTCTCGGCCAGGTCAGGCTCCAGGTACTGCAGGGGGTCCTCACACTCTGACAGCCTGTCTAACAACAGGGGCATGGCCTGGGCTGGAGCAGGAGCCACCACGGGGCCCTTGCCAGAGGGCTACAGGGGCACCAGGAGGAGTGGGCAGAGGAATGAGGGGTAAGGAAGGGGAAGGGGGATGGGACGGGACGGGACAGCAAAGCAAGCGCTGAGTGTTTGAGTGGCAGCTTATTTCCTGAACCAAAGCTGGGAAAAAGTGTGTGAAGGGGCTGATTTTTGGAGAATCACTATGACTCGAGTCCTGGCATAAAGTCTCTGGATTAAGGTGCTCGATTTTGATTAGACAACAACATGGAGTAAGGTGCAACTAAATAAAAACATGACATACAGGTGCATCTCAATAAAATGGAATATAAATTAGAAGATTCTATTTTACGATTGCAGCTTACCCCTAATGAAAACTACAAAATAAAAATAGTAAAGTAAGCAACATAAGCAAATTTCTAAAGAGCCAGGCTGTCAATAGAATGCTGTATCTAAGAATTTTAATAGAAAGTTTAGTCGAAGGGCAAAATGACAGAAATGGGCACAAGCCACAACAATAACCTATGAGATCCAATCAAAAACACAAATGTTAGTCTACTAAAAAGTATGTCCATGTTCATACGGCATATACTCAACACTCAAAATAATCCAATCCAGATTACATAAAATCTCCTTTAATCTGAACAGAGGAGAACTGAGCAGCAGTCCAAGTAAGTCACATACAGATACCTTAGTTTCAGAAGTACAGTTGTAACCTACATCCAGGACTTTTTTCTTCCACTAAACTTTTTTAATGAAAATATTTGACAGCACTCTGAACATCAAGCTTTAAAAAAATTGTGGTTTACTCTCTTTGTGGAGGGTTTCAAAGTTAACTTTTCCATGTAAGTTACTGAAATAAATTCCCCTTTTATTACAGAATCTACTGAGATGCATCTGTAATTCCCATACATGATGATGAGTACACAGATAAATGAAAGCCAGTTTATTCTGACTTTCATTCTGGCAATGTGATCAATGCCAGCTGTTTACCAAGAACCCTGGTCTCACCTGCTCGTCCCTCTCTATGCTCTGTGTCCGGCTGAGGACCTCACTCTCTCTCTTCCTGCCCTTATCTCCAGCGGAACCATCGGGACCGGGCCGCGGGCTCAACACCGGCGTCTTCATGCCTGCAGATATCTGGGCTTCCATTTCCTCAAAACTCCTGTGCAGAAGGACAACAATCTGAGGTCTGAGTAAAAGTGTCAAGGAGCGTACGAGACGTCTATGTAAAATAGACAGAAGAGATAATTAATATTTTATGTTAACAAATACCTTAAAATGAAAGTATCTTATCAAAGTAGCATCATTTCGAACAAAAAAAATCAGATAACTCCAAGCTTTGGGGGAGAAAAAAACTTATAGCACCTATAAAATAAAGAAAACTGCAGTATTAAACCATGCTGAGTTATACTTTACTTTTCTAAAGAGTATTGAGGAAATGTTTTTACCACTGAAATAATAATAATAACTAGAAAATTCCTGAAGAAATTTAACCGGGGCCTGCCAAAGTGTGCCCGTCGATTTTGACCCAGCGTTCTGATGCTAAACATTAGCATCCATGCTAAAGAAAGCTGCAATGTCATCAATACAATGTGGAGAGTCACAAGCATGACTGACTGCATTCAGTATACTAAATATGGGTAATAAGTAAGGGAAATAGCTAATACCTCATGCAAGGTAAAAGGCTAATGCTAATGCTCTGCCTTGCTCCGCAAGGCAGAGCCCTAACCTGAGTGGAAAAGATCATGCAGGATAATCTTATTGCACTGCCTATGGCAGTGCACTGGTGGGGAACAGAGAAATGCTAATGTTTGTGCTAATGCTAATGCACTGTCTTGCTGCGCAAGACAGTGCCCTAACTTGAGAGGAAAAGATAATGCAAGCTAATATCATTGCAGCGCCTGCGGCGCTGCATTAGCCACGGCCGAATCTTAAGTCTTTTATTTTCAAATCTTCAGAATGTTTAATTTTAAATGGTCAATGTAATCCCATGTATAACAGTGATTTGGTTAAATCAGACATATAATGGTCAAAAGAGCACTTATTTAATATAAAAATTCTCAAGGCTTTTATTTTGAAATTCTTTAAAGCTTAATTTAAAATTTCCACACTAATTCCATGTGTAACAATGGTTGGTTAAAAATAGTTATAAAAGGCCCAAAACACAAGCAGTTCTAAAGTCCAACTTTTTTCTCTGAGTTCTGCCATAGTTAGAACTACAGTGATGCGTTTTTTGTAGTCCTAATCAGCTGGCCCCTTTGTGTTCCGTTGCCATGGTAATGGATCCTCTGCCAGCTGTGAGTCAGACAGGGGGAGACATAATTCTATCAGTTTGAGGCAGCCATTTTCCCTAAAATAGGCATGAGCCAGAAAGGAATCTTAAGGCTTTTATTTTGAAATTTTCATTGAGATTAATTTTAAATGGCCAATCTCATCCCATGTTTAACACTGATTGGGTTAAATCAGTTATATAGTGGTCAAAAGAGCAATTACTTGATGAAAAAATTGTCAAGGCTTTTATTTTGAAATTTACATTAAGCTTAATTTTAATGGTAACACTAATCCTATGTGTAACTATGGAGTTTTGAAATCAGTTCTAAAATTCCCAAAAACCAAGTACTTGTCATGGCCAGCTGATTACTCATCAGTAGTAACTGACAGTTCCACCATGTTGTAGTTCTGACAATCAGCTCAGACCTCTTTTGTAGGCACTGAGTGTTCCACCATGTTGTAGTTCTAACCTTCAGGAATTGTAGTTCTAAAGAGCAGCTCAGTCCTACTCAGTAGTAACTGACAGTTCCACCATGTTGTAGTTTTTATATTCACCTATGACCTCTTCTGTAGGCACTGAGTGTTCCGCCATGTTGTAGTTCTAACCTTCAGGAATTGTAGTTCTAAAGAGGAGGTCAACTGTCATGTCAGTGTGACACACAAGGAGAGACTTAATTCTAAGTGCTTGAAGAAGTTAGTTTTTCTGACAGGCCTGAGAGAAATATTCAAGGCTTTATTTCGAAATTTTTATTAAGCTTAATTTAAAATTGCCAAGCTAATCTTGTCTGTAACAATGGTTGCTTACAATCAGTTATAAAAGTCCAAACACAATGTAATTCTAAAGGCCAGCTCATTCCTCCTCAGCAGTAACTGACAGTTCCGCCATGTTGTAGTTCTGACAATCAGCTCTGACCTCTTTTGTAGGCACTGAGTGTTCCGCCATGTTGTAGTTCTAACCTTCAGGAATTGTAGTTCTAAAGAGGTCAACTGTCATGTCAGTGTGACACACAAGGACAGACTTAATTCTAAATGCTTGAAGAAGTTAGTTTTTCTGACAGGCCTGAGAGAAATATTCAAGGTTTTATTTTTAAATTTTCATTTTAATTTTAAATGTCCAAAATAATCCAAAGTTTAACAGTGGTTCTGTTAAAAAAGTCACATAATGCCCAAGAGAGCAATTACGTGATATAAATCTCAGGGCTTTTATTTTGAAATTTTCATTAAGCTTAATTTAAAATGTCCACACACATACTGTGTGTAACAATGGTTGCTTAAAATCAGTGATAAAAAGCCCAAACATAATGTAATTCTAAAGGCCAGCTCATTCCTCCTCAGTAATAACTGACAGTTCCGCCATATTGTAGTTCTGACAATCAGCTCTGACTCTTTTGTAGGCACTGAGTGTTCCGCCATGTTGTAGTTCTAACCTTCAGGAATTGTAGTTCTAAAGAGGTCAACAGTCATGTGTGTGAGGCAGAGACAGATTTCTATCTTTGTGAGACAGCTCAGTCAGTTATAATGGAAAAAGCAGCCCGAACAGCTCCTTGCCGTTCGGAACCGTGCTACGTATCGGAAAATCGTTTGAAGCATATGAGAGAGCTATTTTTTGTCTCCGATAGTCCTGCAAATCATATCTGTAGCTCATTCACAGTAATTACAGCGATGAGATAAAAATGGTGTGCGCTGAGGTCTGAAATTTTCCAGAAAAGTATGAAAATATATGGTGTAGAGCGTCAGTTAGGCTGGAACTTGATTTTGCTCTAAAGCACCTTGACAGAAAACCGTAAGCCCTAGAAAAATTTTGAAAACATTTTACCGGAGCAGACATTCGTATCGATGTCATGTCTGAGTTTCATACCGGTAGCACGATATTTGTGGGCGTGGCGGCGATTTCAAAATTTATTTGGGGTCAGAAATCCACTTCATTTTTCACTCTAGCGGAGCGGCAGTTGGTGGCAGTTATGCTCTGCGTTTCGGCAGTTGGAAATTTCGCTCGTTTTTCGCTTTTTATGTCGCCGTCGTAACGCCAATTCCCCATAAAAGTAATAGCTCCCATGCCGGGATCGAGCCGCACGTTTTGATACCACTTTTGTGGGTGGGCTCGCAGCGGTGCGAGCCGCATTCCGGTCTACGGAAGAAAAATAAAGAACTATAACTAGAAAAATTCCTGAAGAAATTTAACCGGGGCCTGCCAAAGTGTGCCCGTCGGTTTGGACCCAGCGTTCTGATGCTAAACATTAGCATCCATGCTAAGCTTTGCTAAAAATGACAAAGTATCATGTGGAGAATCACAAGCATGTTCACTAACCTGAACTTGCACCATTCAGTATGTTAAATTAAGTGTATAAGCTAAAATTAGCAAAAATGCTAATGTTAGAATGAATACTGTCAGTAGCATGTGGACAATCACGAGCATGTTCTCTGTAATTTACTTACTCCATTCACCATACCAAATATCGCTAATAAGTCAGAAATAGCTAATACCTCATTTAAGGTAAAAGGCTAATGCTAATGCTCTGCCTTGCTGAGCAAGGCAGAGCCCTAACCTGACTAAAAAAAGATCAAGCAAGCTAATATCATTGCAGCGCCTGCGGCGCTGCATTAGCCACAAACGAATCTTAAGGCTTTTATTTTGAAATTTTCATTGAGATTAATTTTAAATGGCCAATCTCATCCCATGTTTAACACTGATTGGTTTAAATCAGTTATATAGTGGTCAAAAGAGCAATTACTTGATGGAAAAATTGTCAAGGCTTTTATTTTGAAATTTACATTAAGCTTAATTTTAATGGTAACAGTAATCGCATGTGTAACTATGGAGTTTTGAAATCAGTTCTAAAATTCCCAAAAAACAAGTACTTGTCATGGCCAGCTGATTACTAATCAGTAGTAACTGACAGTTCCGCCATGTTGTAGTTCTGACAATCAGCTCTGACCTCTTTTGTAGGCACTGAGTGTTCCGCCATGTTATAGTTCTAACCTTCAGGAATTGTAGTTCTAAAGAAGAGGTCAACTGTCATGTCAGTGTGACACACAAGGAGAGACTTAATTCTAAGTGCTTGAAGAAGTTAGTTTTTCTGACAGGCCTGAGAGAAATATTCAAGGTTTTATTTTGAAATTTTCATTCAGCTTAATTTAAAATTTCCACACAAATACTGTGTGTAACAATGGTTGGTTAAAATCAGTGATAAAAAGCCCAAACACAATGTAATTCTAAAGGCCAGCTCATTCCTCCTCAGTAGTAACTGACAGTTCCGCCATGTTGTAGTTCTGACAATCAGCTCTGACCTCTTTTGTAGGCACTGAGTGTTCCGCCATGTTGTAGTTCTAACCTTCAGAAATTGTAGTTCTAAAGAGGAGGTCAACTGTCATGTCAGTGTGACACAAGGAGAGGCTTAATTCTAAATGCTTGAAGAAGTTAGTTTTTCTGACAGGCCTGAGAGAAATATTCAAGGTTTTATTTTGAAATTTTCATTAAGCTTCATTTTAAATGTCCAAAATAATCCAAAGTTTAACAGTGGTTTTGTTAAAAAAGTCACATAATGCCCAAGAGCAATTACGTGATATAAAAGAATCTCAGGGCTTTTATTTTGAAATTTTCATTAAGCTTAATTTAAAATTGCCACACTAAACCTTTGTGTAACAATGGTTGCTTAAAATCAGTTATAAAAGCCCAAACACAATGTAATTCTAAAGGCCAGCTCAGTCCTCCTCAGTAGTAACTGACAGTTCCACCATGTTGTAGTTCTGACAATCAGCTCTGACCTCTTTTGTAGGCACTGAGTGTTCCGCCATGTTGTAGTTCTAACCTTCAGGAATTGTAGTTCTAAAGAGGTCAACTGTCATGTGTGTGAGGCAGAGACAGATTGCTATCTTTGTGAGACAGCTCAG